TGCCCTGCCCCTCCCCCGCCTCCCAACCTGCCCAACCAGCGGCCAGCCAGCCCACAACAACAACCACACACCATCAACTTGGTAGTCGATTACCAATAACAGACGGTCTTTGTTACATCCCAGTAGTCCACTAAGTCACGCAGGGATAGCTGACTGCCTCCCAGTACAGGGGATGGGAGAGCCATCATTAAGCTGCCCTGATATTGACAATGTGGAAAGAAAGGATCACCTACAATGCAAGAGTGAAGAGTTGAAGAACGGTCTAAGGTTAGCGTACACAGGCAGCCTTCACAAGGTGGAGGCCGCCGGAAATACTGGGGGGCTGCGGACACCTCGAAGTAGTAAGGGTCTAGCAATCTAGGGGGAGAGTTAGGGCAAGAAAGAATTGCAGGTAACTTCTAGGAGCAGGCTGGGTCAGATGATAAGGAGTCCAGGGAAGGGATTGAGACTATCAGCAGCCCCATGGGAAACAGGGGCTCTAGACTTGAACGACAAATGGCTCTAGCCCGAAATTGTACCTAAAGGTTGTATGATTGTATCTTTGGGACGCTGGACCTGGTTTCCAGCAGGTGCCGCTCCCCATCAATATATGGAGCAGCCCATCAGCCGAAGCCTCAATCCTGGTGTTTCTCTTACCGCCACTGGGAAAGAGGTCTCGCAAGAGGGCTTGCCACTGGGAAAGAGGTCTCGCAAGAGGGCTTAAAAAAAAAAAAAAAAAAAAAAAAAAAAAAAAAAAAACGAAGTTGTTTTCTTCTTTTTTTTTTTCCTTCTTGTCCTTTTCTAGAAGTCCCCTGCCAGCGAGGCAGGGCGGTTTCCGTGATGTTCTCGAACGTGCATACTGGCGCTGGCACTTCCAACAATGTATCCAACCTCAATCAGGGTGAACGCGTTGTGTTGTTTTTCCTTCTTCTTTGGATTACATCCCACCGTGTGTTTTGAAGAAAAAGTCGGAAAAGTACCCTGAAAGTCGTGTCCGCACCAACCGGTTCGTAAGAACGAATTTGGGTCCCATAGGCTTGACGGGGAAGGCACTTCTCCACAAATTTTGCTGACATGCACTCTGTCCCAACGCCATCTACGGACATCCAACGACCAACAACCACGAACAGACAGCAGAAAAAAGGGAAACACCAATTTTGCAGAGGCACCTACTTTCAGGGGGAGGGGTTAGGGGTACCTGGGGTAGGGAGCTTTTGGAAATTCGTTCACGAAACCAGCCACGACTCTCTCCCATGCTGGCACGAAGGAGGCCCAGAGAAGAAACAGCCGAATTATTTTCCCTGTCCGCTCACCGCGGAAACGTGTGGGATTTCTTTTTTTTCACGAAAGTACCCCTACTAAAGATTGTGGGATCCAAGATCCAAGCCTTTTTTTCCTTTCTCCATTCTGACAAAGACGCTATGGGGCTGAGACACCCTCTTTGAGGGCATGCTCACATAAGCACTTTGAAGAATGAATAGAACTGCAATAACGGCCCATGCGTCGTTGCTCTTTTTCTCTTTTTCTTTTTTTCTTTTTCCACTGGTTCTTCCAGGCTCGGCCTACCCTGTGCCTACCCTGTGACTGGTACCTCAAGGCTCGGCAGGCTCGGCATACCGGTTGCCTGAGGGTCGGACTGCATAGCTGGGCGAGGTACTGGTGGTTTAAAAGTGACGTTTCTCATATTAGCCCTTTTGGGACTTAGTAGGTGATTTTTTTTATTTTTTATTTTTCCCAGTTGGGACAAGGCTCCAATCTATTCGTGGGGAGCAGCAAGTGCTGGGAACCGGGGCCAGCGTCCCATATGGAAATTTACAGAGAATTTGAAAGTTTGAGACAGCGGGGCCATTACCCGGCTCTGGCTAAGGAAACTTTGAGTTACGCAGAAAATTACTAAGACAAACGTCAGAAAACAGGGCTACCCACAACAAAACCCTAAGGAAACTTTGAGTTACGCAGAAAATTACTAAGACAAAGGGGCTCGTTCGACACTCCTTGGGGCATCCTCGAGGCCGAAGGAAGTTTCCTTGGGGGTTTTCAAGGAAATTCCCGCCATCGTTCCACCTGTCCTCGGGGACGTCGCCGAGGACATTTCCTTCGAACGATGTCAGACAACAAAAAAGAAAAGGAAAAAAAAATCAAATGTGTTTGAGGCCTTCAGCCAATAGGGTGCCGCCACGATCCAGATTCTCGGGTGTAACGTCTCTCTACTCATGTGCCTGCTCCTCTCCGTGAAACGCGGATTCCTTTTGCCCAAGGGACCTTGTGAGGTCCCTTGGGCAAAAGGAAGAAATGGCTGCGGAATCCTCGGAGCCCAAGGAATTTCCTTCGGAGTGTTTTCACTTTTTTTTTGCCGACTGCATCCCCAAGGATAGGTGGAACGAACGATTCCTCGGGGACTTTACGCGCCCGAGGAGTGTCGAACGAGCCCCAAACTTCAGAAAACAGGGCTACCCACAACAAAACACTGTTATCACCCCACATAGTAGAAGTCGCAGGCTGTGTGTTAAAACAACAACAACAACAACAAAACCCTTGAGTCAAGGTAGTAGTTGGTCTACCAGCAGGTCAGCAGTTAGGGCCTCGTTAGACCCTCCTTAGCCGATGTTAAGGAATTCGGCGTCGTTACACTGCATCCTTTTTCTCCAAATTCCATGGAAAAATGTGAACCCACCCCTGAGGGAATTCCTTTGGTTCCTCAGAATCCCCAGTCAAAACGTCCTTGGATTGTAGGGGTCCTCGCAAGGTCCCTTAGGCTCAAGGAGCCGTGATTGACGGGTCGTTGTGCAGCGAGCGCCAGCCGCAGAATTTGGAGTAGATGGTGGTGTAGAGGTCAGTCGTGGTCCATCGGGCGGACACCGCCGCCTTAAGTAGCCAACGGGCCCCCAACGGCGTTGTACCGTTACCGTTGGCACGGAAATGCGTGCGGGGGGGGTCTTCAGCTCCGAGGCGCTTGGTGTGGCCACTGTGGCGGGGTTTCCTGTGCACACATTGTCGGGCGTGGTGTCCAACGGTCGAGTTTTTTCTATTTTTGTACGGCCGATGTGTAAGTAGTGCCGTCCGACTGCAATCCTTGCCAGCGTGTATTGTCGACTATTGATGGCCGCACGGGAGAAAGC